AATAGAAGAATAATTGACTTTCACTAATGAGAAAAATCCAGATATTATAAATTTGATTTCATATTTAGTCCCAACCTTTGCTCTCGATTTCATATATGTTTCAGAAACGATCATGAATTATATATTTTTATGAGTTTCGATTAATCTTTAGATAGAGAACAAAAGTAATTAGTCATTTTAGATTTATTTTTTTCAATAACTATAACCAATATTTTAGAATATGGTTAAAATAGATGAATGATTTTTAAAATTAGAGGAGATTTAAATAGGGTATCATCACGTGGCAATGGAACCTCACATTTAAGTTATTTTATCTGTTCTTTTGGTTCCAACATCATTTTTGAGATTTAAATATATTAGAAGGATTTTGGATACATATGGAAAGAGAAAAAAGGAGTGAATTTTTTTTCTGATAATGAAAAAAAAAGTAATATATAATGGCTAATGTATGCATGCTCATATTTTTGCATTTACCAATAACACAATATGAAAATTTTCACAAAAGGAGGATATTTCGGATGAGTTTTTTTTTTTTTTTTTTTGGTGGTATAATATGGTACTATGATAATTATTTCTTATTATTTTTGTATTTTTATTTTATTTATTTCATACAAACATTTGATAGAAAAATAAAATTGCAAGCAACCACACTAGGAAGTCCAGTGGTAAAATTGGCATTTTCATATTAATGGAAAATGGAAAGAATATTGTTCATATTTTGTCATTTTCCAGTGAAACAAAATGAAAATTTTCAAGCAGGAGGAGATTTTGGATGAGTTTCTTTTTTCTGTATATTGGGAATAGTAATAATTATTATTTCAAAGAGAAAAAAAAAACATTTGATTAGAAAAGAAATTATACCGGGAAAATAAAATAAAATAAAATTCCAAGCAACCAACAACGCACACTTTAAAATCCAGGGGTAAAATTGGACATTCAGATACGGAAAGCTCCGCGAACGGCGTCGAATTATCTATTAAGGGGACAGATTGGCATGCGTTCCTGTGAAGCGCTCTTCCCAAGTCGTCGGCCGAAGACCAGCCATGGCGATCTCCCTCCGCCTCCTCCTCCCCCTTCTCCTCCTCCTCCACCTCTTACACTTCTCGGCCTCCTCGTCCTCGGGGGTGCACGACGTCCTCAAGGATCACGGCCTCCCCAAGGGCCTCATCCCGCACTCCGCCAGGGACTACTCGCTCGCCGACGACGGCCAGTTCGTGGTGCATCTCAAGGCCCCCTGCTACGTCCAGTTCTCCGACCTCGTCTACTACGACCAGACCATCACAGGCAAGCTCTCCTACGGCGCCATCACCGACCTCGACGGCATCCAGGTCAAGAAGCTCTTCGTCTGGTTCCCCGTCTCGGCCGTCAAGGCCCACCCGGAATCCAAGACCATCGAGTTCAAGGTGGGGTTCCTCTCTCAGTCGTTTCCCCTTAAGGAGTTCAAGGACGTTCCCGATTGCGAGAAGAAGACGAGGACCTCCTGCCGTGGCGCCACCGGCTTCTCCCACGAGGAATTGCTTCCGGTTGCTGCGGTACAACAACCGTTTCCCTAATCTTCTGCCAGTTTAGTAGATGTGTCGTACAGTTCTATTGCTAATTTAAAGATGAGATCCATAGGAAAGGAGTCGGCTTAGGGGGGTTTTAAGAGAGAAATAGGTGATCTGATTTGAAATAAGGCAAGCCTTTTCCTCTCTATGTAACTTGAGAGACTGAGAAAGTAGACTCCTGCATCTTCTTAAATTGGTCTGTTTGGCTTGCTAATCCTTTTCCCCCTTTTCCCCTCCCTATTTAGGGTGTGCTTTAAGCATTCAAACTTGCCTTAGTTCACCAGCATCCACTAGTGTTTGCTATGGTAGATTTAATATTTATGCCAGGAGTCACTATTAACGTTGACATCATCTCTATTCTTTTCTATAAAACCGCATCACTAGAATAGAAACATAGTAGAAAATTACCAATCGATCAAAGTTGCCAACCTTCAGCAACTCTAAAGTGAGGAGCTCAATCGAAATTAGCTCTCAGGGCTTAGTGGATAAGACTTTGACTGCAGCTGAAGAGTCTGGTTTATCAGTTAAAGAAGCAGGCAAATCAGCTTATTTGGTTGGGTCCTTTCTTTTAATTTTTCAACCAAAAAAAAAATTATAGATTAAAACTAGACAAGTCTGATACACCCATTACCGTTCCTGTCACTGCAAACCAAAAAGTCAAGGTCCGGACGAAGATCTACCCGCCCGTTACAGTCCAAAGAGGAGTTTCTAGCTAAGTCAACACACCAGTTAACAGAGCAAATGCCTTCTCGCCAAGTATGGACGAAGGAGCAATCCAAAAATCGTGTTGTTAGGGTGTGAATGTTTTGACGCACCACAGCAATGCTCCAAGGAGGCGTGGAGTGATTCAAAATAGTATCGATAATAACTTTGGAGTCAGATTCCACGATCAAGTGAGCGATCCCCAGGTCCAGAGCCTTCTGCATTCCCTCCTTAATAACCCACACTTTACACAGCAAGCCATTGCTCCCTTTCGACCTCTCGCAGCCACAAAACACACAAGCAGCATCAGAGTTCCTTAAAAGAAACCCGCAGCCTCCCATCTGATTTTGATCTCCAAGAACGATCACAATTAAGCTTAAAGAACCCTCTAGCTGGTGGAGTCCATTGAACAAGGATCTGCTCTATCCTGTCATGTCTTACCCTACTAAGTTCCATTCTTGAAATCTTCAGCTGTCTCTTTGTGATAAATTTGGCTGATTTGGTCTCTTTGTCAGAAGCATTGCTCTTTCCTGTCCACGTAGCACATGTTAGAACAGTTGGGTTTTAACTGGTTTACATAATTATGTTTATGTGAGCCATCAAGAAAGTGCATTGCATTCTGTTACCGCTTTACAAACAATCAGTATTAAATGTGGAGGTCTTTGATCGCTCTCTCTCTCTTTTGAGTTTGCTGCGTACTGAGATACAAGTTATTCATGAATTAAGGCAATGTAACATTAATCATATAGCAACTTTACAATATGTTAACCCATAATGCTGGACTCACCTATAAAAGTGAGTTGTAATTTAAACTAATTTTTTCATGTGATTGATCAGCATCTATGTGGCCTAGAAAATTAATCATATAGGGAATTAACAATATGCTAACAAAAATGCTGGACTCACCAATAAAGGTGAGTTGTAATTTAACCTAATTTTTCCGTGTGATTGATTGGCATTTAGAAAATATATCTCGACTTTTTCATACTTTTGTTTTTTGTTCTTGGGAGGGGGGGGGCATCGGCATATATTTAAGCATTTTACATTAAACAGCAGCATCTGTTTCAATGAAGAGGTGAGATTAGGCCATAACTTCACTTCTCATTGTTGGCAGAAGGTGTTCTTATGTTGTTTCTCTGTATTTTATGTAATTAATAGCTGACTAATTCAGGTCTTTTGATGCTTACTTGTGATGCCTATTTTTCTGTCTGTAGATTTTACAATTAAAGTTTGATGCATCTAAGCTTATGCTGGACAATCGTTGTTACTCCTATTTCCTGTTGGTAATGACTTTTTTTTTTTGGCATCATTTTCAGGTTTAAGCTGGAAGTTGCCATGAAGTTCTAACGATGCAGATTGTTCGGTATGTACAAGCATATGGTTGCATGATAGATGGTTTGTATCTATGGAATAAATGGATACTTAGATCTTGAGGTCCAGAGAACCATATTTATATGTTGTCTGTAAAACTATTATCGCGTAAAGTGATACAAAACCCTTTTATGACGGTGATGCTCGATGGCTGCATTCTGTGTATGGCAAGGATGTTGCTCGATGACTGAAGGGAGAACAACTTCTTAAAATGGGAATTTTTTGCTAGTAAGATGATTCAGACTAACCATCATTTCTTTTCCTCTCGGCTTTTGTTGTGTTTGATTTATAACGTTTCTCCTAGCAAAATAAAAGCTGAGAATATTTCTTTCGTCATGAAACCAAGATTTGTAATTTCATATGTCGATACTTCATCGGTCAGCGCTGGACCGAGCCGGGACCAATACCATATCAGTCAGTATCGGTCCGGGCTACTATATTGGTCGGTGCTGACCTAGCCGGAGCCAATACCATATCAGTCCTTAGTATGCGTCAGGGCCGTGACTTATACTGTATCGGGCCCTACTAATATACGTATCGAGTTTCGGATAAAGAGTTTAAAAAATAAACTTGTCTAGAGCTGTACGTCTTGTGCTGTCACATTCCATTTTTTTTAAATAAAGAATTATTTTAATATTTATAATTATTAAACCAACAAAGAGGAGAGCATGGAGGATTTCTCACTCATGGAAGCGATCATATCATGATAATTTTGAAATTATTAATTAAACAATTTAATCTTATCCCTAAATTATATACATGAACTAGGAATTAGATCTCCATTAGGAACCAACTTGCTAATGGTTTTTAATATTTTAATTTTGATTTTTAATCTTTTAATTTTTAACAAATGAATTATTTATTTGACTGTTACAATATTATTCTCTTCTCATCTTCTTTTCTTTCCCATTCTTTCATCCCCTTCTCCACTTTTATCCTCCATCTCACCATCACCTCCGCCCCTTGATCCACCAAGGAATCACCATATGACATAGCAGCAGCTACTGCCAATACAACCAGATCAAAATGTTGGGGCTGCAAGGATCACCATCAGAAACAAGTATGCTGCTATCATTCGATTACAGCGGACTTACTTGCAAGTTATTTGTTAAACATTTAATACTTTTAGATTATTTCACAGGGAGAAGAAGATAAGGAAAACAAACTTGTCGGTAGAGCGCAGTAAAACAAAAAGGGTGTCCAGCGGTAGCTCCGCTGTATTGGCGGTGCTACCGCCAGTACTCCTTATCCAATGGCGGTAGCACCGCTGTATTGGCGGTACTACCGCCGGTAACCCGACCCCAATCCCTCTTTTTAAGTTTAGGGCTCACGGGTAGAACTGCCCTAAACTCTCTCCTCTTCGTAGCCGACCTCTCCCTCCTTTACACCTCTTCTTCCTCCCTCTAAACCCACCCCACAACATTCTTTCACCCTCTTCGTCTCTTCTCTTCATAGCCGACCTCTCCCTCCTCTACCCCTCTTCTTCCTGCCTCTAAACCTATCTCACAACATTCTTTCACCCTCTTCCTCTCTTCTCTTCGTAGCCGACCTCTCCCTCCTCTACCCCTCTTCTTCCTCCCTCTAAACCTACCCCACAACATTCTTTCACCCTCTTCCTCCTAAATTTTCTCCTCCTCTCTATACCTCCCTCTAATCACTCCTCAAGGTCTCTTCTTCCTCTTCTCTCATAAGCCTAGGACTCTCATCCCTCCTACTAGGCTAAGGATCAAGTTAAGAGCATAATCAATCTTCTTGGTGATTAAGAAAGAGTCTTAACTTGGCAAAAGACTAACTACAAAGGTAACTTCTAAATCTTCTACTTGTTCTCAGTTTATAGTTTGTTATTATTCTTATTTTTGTAATATATGTTGTAGTCATGGCACCTAGAAGATTCTCAAGGGTTAAAGAAAAGAGGAGAATAGATGAAACCTATGATACCACCCTATTTGATTCCTATGAACATGCTCTAAAATTTTCAACATTTGAATCTAGGATTGTCCACAAAGGAAAGTATGTTGACCTAGAAGATTTGGGTGAACTAGAAACAATCCAATGGTTTGCTAACTTAAATGCTCTTCCGATTCTTCAAATTAGTGAACTTATCTACCCAAGGCTAGTTAGAATGTTTTACAATAATTTACATGTAGATGAAAATGATAGGACATCTACTTATCTTCTAGGACATCATATACCTATCACAGATGGTATAATCTGTAACATCTTAGATATTACTAAAAAAGAACAAAATTATTTTTTTCGAGGACAATGGAACATCGAGACCATTGGGGTCACCTATCAGAAGGCCATTAGCACTATTTTTGGAAACCCCAACCTATCTATTATCCCAAAGAGTTGTGAGCATTTTTTACCATTTAATACTAAGTTGCTTCATCATATCTTGATTAGTATCTTGCTTCCTAAACAACATCATCTGGATGAAGTTAATACTTTGGAAATAAATACCATGTATTGGATTATGACAGGACGTGATTATTGCTTTGGTTACCTCATACGTCAAAACATGATTGATATATCTAGGAAGGATATAATGCTTCCATATGGAGGCCTGATTACCAGACTTTTACATGCACATGACATAACTATCTCACCAGATGAAGAAACCATGAAACTAGATAAATTCAATATCATTAATAGAAATCTATTGAGAAGATTGAGGTGTATTGTAATTAATGAAATATGGACTAGATTACCTAGAAGAATTGATCCTCCTCCACCCAAGCCTGTACCAAACACACCTATACATAAGGGCAGTCATTCTCCTCTTACTAGTCCCTTTGAGGCGATACCTCCAACGGATGCAGCACCTTCTTCATCTTCTGAGATTATAGCAACTCGATTGGACCGTTTAGAGCTTCGTCAAGACCAGATTTTGACTGAGATACAGCATATTCATCAGCGTCTTGATACCTTTAATGCATACTTTCATACTTTATTTAGACATTTTGGATTGCCAAAATCCGAGTAGATATTTCACCTTTTTATTGATGAGAAAGGGGGAGAATTAGTAACTATGCCTATCTTTACCTTTTGATGAAGTAGTACTTTTTTTTATGTTAAATTAGAAAAATTATGTTATGCCATATTTAACTTATGATGTTTTTAACTTATGGTGATGTCTTATGATACTGTTTAACTAAAATTATGCCTCTGATTTTTACTATTGAAAATCACTAAATTTATGATCAATATTATTTGAATTTAAATTCAAGACTAGCACTAAATGGTTATTATTTTGAATTTTAGTTCATTATATTTTAAGATGACATATAGATAAAGGGAGCTTGGTTAAGAATCTATCATCAATTAGTTATCATCATAAAAAAGAAAGAGATTGTTGATTCTTGAATTTTGATGATAAAATTAATTGATGAGTTTATTGGATTAAATATGTTTTTGAGATAAGTGACATGGGAAATATTTTGATCACAGACTTAGATCACCGAAGAGCCAACTATCAAGAGTCCAACATTGCGTCAAAAAATTATCATGCCAAAAATTAGACGTCGAGTCGAAGGATTAGTCGGCGTGCCGAAGATCGGACTTTGTATTATAGGTTTGGGTATCATGCCGAAAGGATCGAATATTGCGTCGGAAGATTGGATGTCGTAGGAAAGTCGATATGTCGGTGGAATGAGCAATATATCGAAGGAAATGGTGATCTACCGAAGGTTCGAATGAAGTGTCGAAAGATCAGTTGACATGCCGAAAGAGTGTACAATGTGCCAAAAGATCAATAAATGTGCAGGATATATGGATGATTTATCAAAGTCTTGATTGATGTTATTTTGGATCAATTTAAGTTGGCATTGGGTCGAAACAATGCCAACTTGTCAAGAAAACCATTAGGCTTGAAGTTAGGCTAAATTGGGCCCATTAGAAGACCAAAATGGTGGCCTAAAGTAGACTTGGGAGGTGGTACCACCAGGATCGAGTGGTAGTACCACTTGTCAATTGACAAGCACTATTTATACTTATCAAGCTTTTCAACGATAGTACCACTTATGGTAGTGGTAGTACTATCCAAAATTTAAATATTGTGATGGTAGTTCTGCTAGAGTCCAAAATTATAGTTCACAAGTTTCAACAATAGTACCACCCATTGTCAATGGTAATATCGCTCGTACCCCGAAATTTTAGGGATTTGAATTTTTTGGCTCTATTTTTGAAACCTTTTAGGGCTTATAAATACTCACTCAGGTTTGATTGATGGAGCATTCATTCTTGAGTTTGTGAAATATTGTAGTTCTTTTTTTAGCATTGTTTGAGTCTCTTCCTCTCTCTTGAGTTTAGTTATGATACTAAATTGTAGGAGGTGAGAGTTCTTTTATAAAAGAGTGAGTGTGGAGGATCTCTTATAAGCCTATAAAAATGAGAAAAGCTATAACAAGAGTAGTTGATCGTCGTCCGTTGAAAAGAAGATCAGTAATAAAAGCCAATGGCCTTGAGAGAAGAGGAATCGGGAATAGACGTAGGTCGGGTAGACTGTGGTTTGCATTACTTCTCTTGTTTGTGATTTTTGTTTATGATTGCTTACTTATTATTATTCACTTTACTTACAAACCTTACTTGCACTTAATATTTTGTTAATCATGTTTTCGATATAGAATTTATGATTAAGCTTTAAATTCGACTAAAAAATTTCTATAGAACTAATCCACCCTCCCCCCTCAATGCCATTAAGATCCTAACAAAGAGAATAAAACAAAGTCATAAATAAGAGGAAAGTAATGAGAGGCAAACTAATTTATAGTGGTTCGATCTTTTTGACCTATATCCACTCCCGATTCCTCTTCTCTCGAAGCCATCAACTTTCATTAGTAATCTTCCTTCCAATAGGCGAAGATCAACTACTCTTGTTATAACTCTCTCTCTCTTCTTTTTCAGGCTTAGGAGAGTACTTTTATACTCTCTTTTTATACAAGATCTCTCACATCTTATAACTTAGAATTATAACCAAATACAAGAGAAGGAGAAGACTTCACCAACTTAGGAATTGATGCTCCATTAACCAATCTGAGTAGAGTATTTATAGGCCTCAAAAAGTTTCAAGAATAGAGCCAAAAATTTAAATCCTCAAAAAGTTTGGAATACGGGTGATACTACCATTAACATCGAGCAGTACTATTGTGTATAACTTTTGATGTTGCAAATCTGGACTTCGATAGTACTACCACTCAAAAATTTAAATTCTAGTCGATACTACTGTCGCCATAGGCGGTATTACTGTTGGAAAGGTTAACAAAGTATAAACAATGTTTGTCGGTTGACTCAAGTAGTACTATCACTTGGGCTTGGCGGTACCAACACCTAGGCTTAGTTTAGGCCATCGATTTGGCTTTCTAAAGGGCCCAATTCATCTCAACTTCAAGCCTAATGACTTTCACGACAAGCAAGCTTCGTTTCAACCTAATAACGACTTAAATTGACCCAAAATAATCTTGATTAAGACCTTAACAAATTAACTATACCTCTGGCACTTTTACAAAGGTTACGACACATTGTTTGCACTTTCGACATGTCATCTAATCTTCTAGCTCTCCGTCCGAACATCCGACATATCATCCTTTCCTTCGATATATCGCTCATTATACCAACATGTTAACTTTCTCATGACATTCAATTTTTTAATGTAATATTTGATTCTTTCGACACGATGTTCAAACTTATAACATGAAGTATGATCTCTAGCACATCAACCAATCCTATGGCTCGACATCCAATTTTTGACATGACAATTTCTCGGCATGACGTTTGACTCTCCTATAACAATTGGCCTTTCAATTGATCGAGTCCATGATCGAAGTATTTTTTGTGTCACTTATATCAAAAGCATATTTATTGCATAAACTCATCAATTTATTTTATCATTAAAATCCAAAATTCAACATAATCTACTTATAATTTATAACAAAATTATATGAAAGAATTCTAAGTCCCCAACATGAATAAACTATATTTGAAAAAAAATGCTACACAACTTATTAAATAAACTTTATTTTTTATAAAATAAAAATCTAAATTTTTCATAGTGAACATAAGCATCATATAATATTTCTAGCTAGATTATCAAATTATTATTTTTAAAGTATTAGATAAAATCCAATATGTGACTCTTCATGAATCACCAAGTCAATTGATATTTCTTTATTACAAATCAATCAATCAAAAAAATAATATATTATATAATCAAATTAACAACACTTATCTTTCAAAAAATGGATAAAAGTATCACGACAAAATTATAACAACTATTATTGCAATATAGAGAAAATATACTAAATTTTTGGTCTCTTACTCAATAATCATAGTTTAAGTCATTTAATGACACTATCCTTGAGTAATTTTTTAATTAATTATTTTTTAAAAAATAAATCGTATTAACTCAATAAAATGACCACCTATCTTAAAATCATTACTACCTAAACCCAAAATTTAAATCTCAAAACTAATTGAGTTATCTAATATTCTAATGGCTCAATATTCTAATAGGTCCTCAAAATCGTTACTCAAATATCATTAAATTATCAAATCTCAAATTTATAAAAAAATAAATTATTATTTCAATATTCATAATTTATAGAAGATCTTTTTTTTCTTTTATTTTTGAATTCAAATCCTTATCTTTACAATAATTATTTTTTTTACTAGAAAAAGTATAACATCTTCTTAGTATGACCACAAGTAACGATAAAGTCTCTTCTACCTAAGCCTTAGATCTACTACAAAGTAATATATTTTTTAGAAAATAAATATAAGATAAAATTATATCAACAACCACACAGGTAGGAACCTCCAGAAAAATCATATAAATAATTTTAATATTTATGATATATATCAATAATTTAATATAAAATGATAACATATCAATTCATTATGAAACTCATGTATCAAAAAAATAATTATTATTATTATGTAATAAATAAAATCATATATTAATCGCATGTAACACATCTCGATAATATACATAATAATCAAATAACAAAGGTGTACATAACACACCTAATGCTGTACTCTCCTAATAGTACATGGAGAGGCATACATCATAGGATGGATTCCTCCCAACAGCGAATAGAGAGAACCCATATCACACTCCCAAAAACGGATGGAGTGATATCCCTCACCCACCTAAGTGGGAATGCGTTCCTCCTAACAATGGATAGAGGAATCATCTAATCATCATATTTGATGGTCCACTAATCCTTAAAGGGAATCATCCTACCTGCCCTCAGTAGGTGTATATAAACAACTATGTCATTCATTTACATTCATTCATTCACGCATACATCTGAGAAATAGCTCCTTTCATAAGTTGTATACATCTAAGAATCATTTATGATCTACTAGACTATGTCCATCGGTGACTTCACACTATGATGGGCTCGTAGCTTTTTTCATAGGTTGCACTTCCAATGTAGACCATTAGCATAGTTACATATGCCATATGGTAATAATCACATCAATATTATAAACTTAATCTAAAAAAAATAATAGAAAATTAATAATCATTTCCAAATGATACCTTAAGAGTCATGCCTAGCCACATGGATTGGACAATACCTAGCAACATGAGCTAGGTTATGACTTACCATATGTACTAAGTTGTACCTTACCACATGCGCTTGTATAATCAATCAACTTAACTCGAGTAATATCGTCAATTTGATCGCACTTATTAAATTAGATTTAAATATTTTTAATTATTAAAGAATAACTCAAATCTATGATTAAACAATTTAGATTTATAATCTTAATTTTAAAACTAATTAAATTATAAGAATTCACAAAATTCTTAAAAAAAGATATATCTAATTAAATGAATTAGAATTATTATGTTAATCTAAAAATAAGAATTTAATAATTAAATCAATCTTAAAATTCATTTAAGCCTAAGAGATCATTATAAATCAAATTAACATCACAAATCAATTATCATTATTTATTAGTTATAAAATTTTAAATTTAAAATATCACTATGTATTATAAAATTCTAACAATGCTAATATCAGATGTTAGAATCTACCTCTCCTCGAACATCCTTTTTTGGAATAAGAGAGAGGGAGCTCCCATTATATAAGAGAAGTGAAGAGACAAATAATGATTTAATTTTTATTTTTCTTTTACTTACACACACAAAGATAAAATTATAATATTTATTTCTTATGTTTTATACATAAAAATAGAATTTGAACTATTTACTTTTGAAAAATCATATCACTCATTAGAAAATAAATCAATTAATAATTTAATTTATCGATAAAATTCTTAACCTATTCATATGATTAAGGAAATCAATTTTAATTATTTTTTAAAAATTATCGGTGATTACATGTACAAGAAAATATTAGCCTTATATCGGGTGATACTAATGAATACTACCGCTCGATAAAAGTCTGGTAAGAACGGACTGTTCGATTTATCTTAGTCTGCATACTGGTAACTTAACATTACATACGAGAATTTTGTTGGGTACATGACATTCTTGTTTGTTGTGGTACTTCCAAAAATGATGGGAAATATACAGCAGTTGCTTTCTTTTTGGTAACGAAAGATAAATAATAGATTAGGATAAAGTTGTAAGGTGTTGGGCATAGTTTTTCCCTTTTTCCTGTAAACAACATGCCTCTACACAAATTTCAGAATGGAAAAAGAGCGAGTTCGCATGTTGATCTCAATCAAGACCAATAACCGCCGATGGTAAAGCTTTGCTTAAGTCGATTGGCATGTTGAATTGAATGGCATTTAATTTAACAGAATACGAGGGCAGAAAATCTAGTATTAAGAACATAAAATCATTGATCATATCTTATCTAATGACTTCATCGTTAGATGGACTGACCAAGAATTTAAATGAGTGACAACAAAATTGGTTTTTCAGTGGCAGAACAAAGTAGCAAGCACTTAATTTATATGTCAACTTCAAAATATAGATCGGTTTTTTGTAGCAAAATATCGCCTCATTATTTTCTTGCACTCGCACAAATGGAATAAAGCGTGCAGAATAAATAAATATGAAGTTGTCTCACGGAAATAATACTTTTCAGTAATTGAGTCACTTAGCACACAAATTATAATTCAACAACATCAATTACCTAACAGTAATTGATGCTGTTTGGCTACTTTCTTCTAAAAGCATCATCATTAAAACCATAAAATCAATCCTCATCGATCTGAACAAAAGTAGTCTTGGTACTGCATCACCATGGTCCTGCGGCATCAAACTATACAATCAACATACAGCTGAGTTATTAGTTGCACAACATGCTATTTACTTGCCATTCACTCAGATTTAACCATTTTGGCATTAGGATTAACCAATACACATTATCTAATTGACAAACAACAAATATTTTCCCTCCGTAATATAACTCTTTTTGAGAAGCGTGCATAACATGAACCAACGTGAAAGCACTAACAAGAATGAACACGGTCTGAAGTTGACGGGCTTCAGTGGTAAAGATCTATCTAAGGGCCACTCCATAAATAATTGAACCTAATTAAGTATTACTCAGAAAACAGAAACCTGTTTCTGATGACTACTTGACCGGCCACTCCTTTTCTGCTTCACAGGGGCTTCAATACCTCAGAAATCTATCAAGAACCCAATGTATATATGCGTACAAAGCAGAAACCTGGCTGGATCCTGTTTGCTTCTCACAGAAAGAAACATTGCCAAGATGAAACAAACAGCCCAAAAAGGACCCTCGAAGTCTCATCACATATTCTACAACCTCCGAGTTACACCCTGGTAAGAAACAAAGGGAAACAAAAGAAAATAAATTTAAAATGGGGCTACCTGTGAGACTTATAGGACCATTCATATTTGATTCATCCATGTAGCACTCTCATGAGTGGGGAACCAATAGAGAAACTGCTAGCGACTCAGCAGGCAATGAAGAAGAGAGGGATGACACAAAATATCTAAGCCCTCAAGCGCACAATGCTATCAAAATTATGGCCCTCGTACAAGGGTGAATAGATCTAAGCTAAGAAATAATGGAATGGTGCTAATCCCAAGCACTTAACCCTGGATTGCCATAACCACTGCCATACCCAGAGGATGCACCATATGCCCCACCTCCATACCCACTGCCTCCATAATAATCACCACCTCCCCCACTCCTGGAAGAGGAATCCCTTCGAAAGTCACGCCCCCCAAAGCGTGCTCCACCAGATCGACGGTTTCTACCACCATAGGAAGAACGATCAGCAGCATAGCGAGAAAGCCACTGCGGCACCTCCTGGTTCGCTTCCTGCATAAGCTCTGCCAATGACCTGGCTAGAGATGAATTATTCTCGTTGAAGAAGGCAGTGGCCAGACCAGACTTTCCAGCTCTCCCAGTTCTTCCAATGCGGTGCACATAGTCATCAATGTCATTGGGCAGGTCAAAGTTGATGACATGTGCCACATGAGGAATGTCAAGCCCACGGGCTGCAACATCAGTTGCGACTAGAATTGGAGTTGCACCACTCTTGAAGGATCTGAGTGCACGTTCCCGTTCCTGAATAATTTATAGCACTTTCTAAGACATGACGTAAAAGAATAATTTATAACATTATTGTGAATGACTACTAAAGGGAGAAGCAACAATCTTAGCTGAGCAAAGAAAATAACTACCACCAAACCATATTGGTTAAATTTCTAGCTCAAATGGAAGACAGGAACAATTATACGATCATCAAACAACTTCAAAAACAGACCAATCACTAGGGTTTAATTGTATCTTACAGATGTACATCTCACAATCAACAACATAAATTCCAATTCTACAAGTTGTCATCAGTGACTTTAGCTCAAGGAAATTCCCAAAAGTTAAATCATCCAAGAACTGTGAGCAAGATGTAGATCGCAAAGAACATCAAGCAATTGTTTTGAAATCCTAGCATAATTTGCTCAAAATCCTAGCATATGGTTCATTCCTTTTGCTATTTAAAATTTCGACTATTTACTTTCCCTTTAAAGGCCCATTGGGGTTTTCTTTTGTAATTGTTGCATCGTATTAGAGGTGAGCCCCATGGCATCGTAAGTCTGCTCTTTGTGACTTGAATGATAAAGGTGTGATTCATGGAAATAGCCTCTGCTTGCAGGGATCAGACTGCACAAATTAAATCACAACCAATCTCACATTGATCGGAACATCATGCACTACGATGCCCTCTTATGTTTCATACTATTAACAAAAACATATAGATTGATGCCACCCCCACTCCCTCATCCACTTCCCAAAAGAACAAAAGAAAGTGCATAAATTTTCAAATAAAGGAATTCTGAGGTAATCAGAATAGGTCATCAGAACACAAAAATATTACATAAACATAAAGTTATCAGATGGCAACATCATCTATAATCCTGCATTAGTTATCAACATTGCCCCAAAAAAAGGTAAAATGGATGCCAAACGCAAAAAAAGGAAGCAAATTTTATGCTTAATTGGATATTTCTAAGGCTTTACTTAAAATTCCATGATTACAAGGAAGTTTAATTATGATTAAAGACTCTACAAAAAGGGTAAGTCTATCAATAAGTTATCTTGTCTATGAGAAAGATTAATTTCCCCAATGAAGAAAAGAAATGATCAATATGCCTTGATTTATGGGATGCAATTTTCTTGATTGTTATTTCTTTTTCATAAGTTTTCTTTTCCTTTTTGTACTGAAGGATCTACCGAAAGGGAAAAGGATTGGAGTTTAAAGTTTAAACATCAGATAACGGTTGAATGAAAGAAACTTTTTTGCCACAAAATGTACGAGTGTGAACTCACCACTAGCATGACTTCATCATCCCACTATGAAGGTTTACGACTTCCATTCATGGGAATAAATCCTTGAGCTATAGTGAGTCTAGTAGATTCATTTCTTTTTCTCATGTAAAATCTTCTTTTATATTCCACAACTATCAAATTCTAGGAAAAAAATATACTTTCTTTACCCATCCTACAACATATTGGTCACAAACTATCCTAAAATAGTGTTATTAACATAGTTACAGGAGTGCACGACACTACCTAAATGCATATAGGTAAATGGTGTCAACCAAAAGCCAAAGGGATCCAAAAAACACTTACAGCATGCTCATGGAATTGGTATTGCCCAATCTAATTAAGCTATTAGTTCTCCATGGATAAGTTATTTTACAGAAATTATATCAACATTCTCATTTGTCAACTACCATCCAAAATTTAATAATAGATACCATAATAGTCAAAAGCATGACCATAAATCAAGAATAAGATCATTTAGTCGACTAATTGTTTGACTATTATGATCATATAGCATTAGCGATTGTTGGAAGACTGCCATGTTACTTATACATATATACTCAAAATATCCAAGTGCAGACTCATAATAAGAGAAAGCTTTTCAAATAATACTACGATTGGCTCATTATTCTTAGTATGTCATTGTTTATCTAAGAGTATATTGCTGCAGTACTTGTTATCTTGCAGTACCATTTTCGCACTAGTCCTTTTAGTATAGAATGAGTTGATCACCAAAAAAAGACAACGTTTGCCAAAAGAGAAATAATGATGTTCTAAAAAACCTAACCACATTGAACAAGTAGAAAAGGACTTTTCTGATTGCTTTGAATAGTGGCATAAGTTCTGAGAAAGGATAGCTTATGGTAGTGTGACAATGAAAAAACTAGTTATTGCAAAAAGGATAAGTCACAAGGCTGCAGAATGATGAGTTCTGAAATTGATAAAAAGGAAGATAAAAGAACTATTATAGAGGCTAATAAGATAAATTAGGGGTGGGGTAGCATATATTTTGAGAAGGGAGAACTGACAGTAGTGATATAAAAAATGATCGCACAAAAGCAGATTATACAGCAAGAACAAAATGGAAAATGGAAAATAGAAAACAAATATATAAAAGGAAAATAAGTTATTATTGAGGCTAACTCCACAGCATATGATAGTTTTTGCAAAACAATAAGTAAAAAAAATAAAAAGTAAAGGTGAAAATAAAGGTATGCGTGGCTCACTGAAGGGAGAAAAAAGAGTGGAACCACATTAGATGCATAAATAGTAAAATGAAGTTTATTATGATTAACAAAAGATAGAAAAGTTATTTTCATTTAAATGTTAAGTGTCTGGGCTCAGTTGAGGACCAACCACTTGCATGGATGGTATAAAAAAACGGGTGCCACAGGCTCCAATGATGACACCCATAGCTCTCTTTTTTGGGTCTGGCCCACTATCTTTGAGTTTTGAGGAATGCATCATCCACACCTAATAAGTTACTTCATGGATAAACTAGGATAAGCCAATTAAAGGATAACATAGCTCTAGAACTTACAGCATTATGCATAAGTTATAAAAGTCAACTAAAGGATGCCTTAAGCATGGAAGTACTGGAAAGATCCAGGGTGAATTTGGCAAACTTCTTGAAAAAGACAACTAAAAGAGGCCTGGTGAACAAAGGGAATGCATGCCACATCATAATATAAGAACAAAAGAGATGTTCAAAAATATAAATAATCAGAGAATTAATTTATGAGCCATACTGAAAAGGGCATTTTCGAAGATTGAAAGAACAAAACTTCAGACATGAAACCAAGATTCTAAAAATTGATCCCCACTCCAATTTGAGAATCTTGTCGGACAAGTGTGGTACTGAGATACTGAGCAGTATACCATTATAATTCAGTACCATTTGACAAATAATAAATTGATTAAAAACAGTGATATACCAAGCAAACCAAGTTGTATGGTCCATTTAAGTTGCTTGGCTGGACTAATACCAACCATTATGTACCAAGTTCGACCAGTATTTTGAACATTCATGAAATGAATATACAAAATTAAGTTTAGAATAACACAGGAAGATCCAGCATCATAATCTATTCCTTTACTGAACAAATAATTAAATTTTTTTTTTAAAAAGGAACTACACGTTTTTTTTTAAACCTAGACAAAAAAAAAAGAAATTTTCCTATATAAAATGTGAATGTTGTATGTAGATACAAGTGGAAGGACATCGTGAGGAAAATCATCCCACAAACACCCGAAGATTGCGTCAAGGGTCAAACTAGAGTCCTTATTAGCAGATGAAATTACTAGACACTCAAAATGAAGTCCCAGGACATGTGCTATTTCCTAATGGTGCCATTTATATTGACAATAATAGAGAAAAGCCAAATCTAAACTAAAGAAAAAATGATATCTTTAAGATTTGAAGGTTTTAGTATAAGCAAAAATATATAATAAAATACAACTTTATGTCTAAATTGAAGGTTTTATATAAGATGAAATAGATAATACAAAATCTAGCATAATCTAATAATGGATGAATATTAAACTTTAACAAAGAATGTTACATATTCTACAGACAGTTTGTTATCACATCCAGTAAAGGAATTTTGATGTATTAGTCTACGTCGCATCATATCCATATATTAATTTTGTATTTATGCTTCAAAAGTTATTCTTATTAGGACTTGAACCTTCCAGAGCAAAATTAATACAATCTGATTGAAGTAATTTTCAGAAAAATATAACTAAAGATTGTTTTCTAGCAGTGTTAAGTTCAAAAAAATGCAGCACAGCACTCTCGACAATTCAAAGATGAAAACTGCAAATTGGCAAAAAAGAGACAAACTATCACAAAAAATGGAAATACATTTGTGGCAATTTACAAAGTAACAAACAATTGAACTAATATTTTCTACATAAAACATTTGATCAATGATAGATTCACTTGCCTGCTGTGTCCTATCACCATGAATGGTGGTTGCAGGAAACTCATTCATGCATAACCAGTGCTCCAAGGAATCAGCACCTTTCTTTGTCTCGACAAAGACCAAAGTTAGAGCTTGCTACATAAGAATTAGAGCAACAATATCAGACACATTGATAACAGCACAATCACAAATGCAACTAAACGGAACAAATAAGTTGTCTCATGAAAGAGATATATTTCTGTTCAAGAAAAGCCATCCTATTCTTAAAGAAGGCAAAGACTTTCCGTGGAACAGTCGTACCTTTCCATGGGCACCATTAACCCTTTGGGCATGAAGAAGGTCCATTAGGTGGCTTCTTTTGTCAGAGTCAAGAACAAACTCTACCCTTTGGACAATCAGATCCGTACTGGAACCGACCCTTCCAACAGCAAGAAAGATGTAATTGGAAAGGAAATCAGAAGCCAATCTCTGCACATAAAAAATATTTAAAACAATAATTCATAAAAAATACAAAGAAAATAATGTTGAACATTAGCAATAAGAATAGATTAGCTGAACTTTTTGAAGATAAATCAAAACCAATCAGCCTTATAGACAGTGACATACTGAAGCATGCTCTATTTATTTACAAAAAAACTAGGCTCAATTTTTCAAGCTTTCATAATATAAAAGTACTTGGAAACAGTAATAAGCAGGACAAATCAAAATAAATATGTTGAATAGATTCTAACCTTAATATAAATTCAATGTCTCTTGATTCACCTCAATGGAGATCAATAAAGGAAATCATGGCCTTCCTAAGATAATCTTACAAATTGGTTTGACAATTTTTTATAATAAATCAACCTCCGAAAGGAATTTTTCCATTACAACATACTCTGGTTTAGGCCACAGATAAGAGTCAGGTCAGGTTAGAGCTTGGGCCTAAATGGACGCCAATAAATAACAACTAAGGATTTGGCCAAATCACTTTTCTAGTTCATACTAGAGTTTGGTTTGACCGCAAAAATGAATCAAGAATTATCTGGCCAAAGATCTAACAAATAATTGGGCCGAGGATCAAGATCCACGAGGATCCATACTTTCTCCAACATCAATTAGCAGGTAAATGGTATCATACACAATCTGACCAACATCCATAACTCAAACGATCAACAATATTTGTAACCACCCAATAATTAATTCGTTTTTCAAAAATTAAAATATTGTAATCATAATTTTATCTTAATAAGGTTAACAATTTTCCTGTTTGAATAAATCTAGCTAGGAAGTTAATTCCTGATAGAGATTTAATTCCTAATTTATATATATCTAAGTCAAGCTAGGAAGCTAATTTATATAGGTTTGATGGAGTCAATTAAGGAGATCAATGTTCTTGCTCGTAGAGATGGCCTTGGGCATCAGCACACCTTGCAGACCTGTTGAATTGCGAGTGAACCAAAATTTCAAACCTTCACAAGATCTTCGAAAGAAGACCTTGAAGGCTACCGATGTTGATTATATGGCAGCCTCTAAGACACCACAAAATACACCTGGTAGTCCCACAGCTGTCAATGCCCCGGATATGGTCAAATAGGTCCTGAACTCTATGAGAGATTATTTAAGTGCTTGTCACCACCTCTGCGAGATGTGAAACAGGTTGGAGCTCACCAAGGAGACAACTCTAGTTTAGAGCAATTCAAAAGGTCGAGAAGACATTCGAAGCCATCAACAATGTACAGTACATTTAAAATGTTTTAACAAAAATATTAATTAATGACTGTTAACATTGGTATGTATTTTCTTAAATCAATCATTCCTTTTTTTTTATTGTGGGTTCCTTGAAGATCATGAAGATCCTGGATTTTATGAAATAAAAATGACATGACCATCCCCATGGAAATATAATATTTATCAGATATATATTAATAAGTATTACATTATCTTTACTATTGGTAGATATATATATGCATGACTATCAGTAGGTTAGTAACCAATAGATTTTTCAAAGAATAATTATTTTGGGTAAAAACATTTTTTATTTTATTGGATGAATAATACATCTATCACCCAATAATAACCATATCCAAGAAATACATCTCATTCATAATTTTTGTTACACAATATGTTCATCAATTATATACAGAATTATAGGTAATTTATACATTTTTTAATATTTTTATTACATTTATATATTGATACTAATAATTTTTTATTGAGTGCATGTGAGATATATCTTATTGAACATCAACCATGGAATATGATTGCTTTCATTACAGTGATACACTTTTAAATTCTATAATGAAAAATATATATATTATATTCTTTATTAAAACTATAATTAACACATTACAATTTTTAACTTGAAATTATATTATATTAAAATAAAACATAAAATTACACTTTCTTTTCTTTTCCATATTATTTGTGACATACAATTTGGGTTTTCAAGGACAACCATTACTTATGTTTTATTTGAAGACCCAAGATCGTCTTTCTAAAGAAGTATTAACTTATATTCTATCTTAATATAGTTACAATCTAAAGTTAAAAATAAAGATATAGTCATAATATTTTTAATAAAAAATATGAACACACTTACTTTCTATATATAATCCAAAAAGTCCACCCAATAATATCACTGTGAATAGAAACAATCATCTTCCATAGCTCGATTAATGAATATTCTCTTTGAAACTCAACAAGATATATTTCATATATACTCAATAAAAAAATATTAATATGAAAAATATAAACTCAGCAAGATATATATCTCATATATATTCAATAAGAAATTATTAATATCAAAAACATGTAAAATGCAATAAAAATATACAAATTTAATATCCTCTGATACATATAAATGATGAAGCTACTGCAGTAAGATTTTGAAAGCATAATTATTTAGTTTATGTATTTCTTGGAAATGGATGGTATTCAATGATACATGTAGTTATTCATCCAACAAGAAAAGAAATATGATCACCTAGAGTAACTGAAAAATCTAATAGTTATTATCATACAAATAGTGTATCTACTAATAAAAAAGATAGGATAACACTTATTAAAGTAGTTTTAATTACTACTACATTATCAATAAATTTATTTTCTTCATCCATATTTATTCATCAAATTCAGAATTTTCATAAACTTAATGGGCACTGACAAAAAATTATGATCATTAGAAATAATAAATTTTAAAAAATACATATCAATTTTTATAATCTTTAATTATTATTGTTTTGTTAAAATTGATGAACCTGATTAAGTATTAAAAGTTAAAATATAGATATGAAGTATTACAAGTATAATACTAAATTAAAAACGAGACAAAGTTATCTAAAAAGTAATATTAAAAAAATAACATGAAGTAATATCTAAAAAATAAAGAAACATTTTGGTATTCTAATTTAGATAAACTGAGTTACATGCAAATTGGACTAACTTTAGCTTTAACACAAAGCTAGCACAAAAATTAACTATACATTTCATAGAATTCTATGCCTCTTGAAGTTTCAACCATCGCCTAACAAAATAATGTTCACAGTTATTAAAATAACAATAAGTACTACAAGAACGAAGATCCATAAATCTAAAGGTATTCACAATTCAAGAATATTATGTTTTGGATCAGTATACTAACAAGAACAAAAATGAATAAATATCATTTATATTGCTTCATTCTAGTTTTTATTTTGTATCTATTTCTCACTAAGCATGCTTGTCAATATTTTCAAGTGGAGTAAGCTCTTGAATATTACAACAATGGTAAAAAAAGATTGAAATTAATCCAATTCATTTTGTGACAATGGTGACATGAATTTTATCATCAACTAATATGTTATACTATAAAATTTTTAATTAGTGGCATATCAAATAATGCTTAGCATACATGTTTATCTTTTAATTCTCAAATAATATAGTAGATGCTGATTATTTTTACCTTTGTAAGAACAAGAGCCAATAAAAATTTCATACCTAATAATTATTTGACTAAAGCCATTGTTATTGAAATATAATAATGTAATAACAATACACAATTAAATCATACATATTCACATAGGCCTTGTTTATTTAATATAGATTTTGTTTTATTTGGGTTCAACATTTTTTCCATCAATTCCATAAAAACAAGTATCCAGCCACTATACCATGGCCCTTGTTTCAGACCCAGTCAAGCCTAGGACAGCCAGCTAAATGGGTTGGGCTGGCCCGAGTCCAACTAGCAGCCTGATTTGAGTCAAACGCAGTCCAATCTGATGCAACTCCTTTTAATTTCAATCTATTTTCAACCTTGTCTTTTACAGAAAAAAAATCATATAATCAACCACTTAAAATGCGTTAACACCAAAAAGATTATGAATAAATATCCCAAACATATTATTAATAATAAAATTTTAAATATGCTTTTCATGAATTAAAAATTCTAACAAATTCATAAATTCAAATTTTAAAACAAGAAAATCATGCAAATTTTGTCTATAAATCATACAAACACAACTATACATCTAATCTACCATATAATTTTGATAAATGATTTTATTTAATCTGCAAACTAAATTTTGTTAGTATAATCATGTATAGACATCATATTTTAAATTCTAAAAATCATAAACAAACTCATATAAAAAGCTTTACAGAAAAGATCTACTTAACTGATCCTAAATAACTACAATTTTATAGCTTTGTTGTTGCTGTTGAAGAATGATTCTAATATAATCAAACAATTTTCACAAATTAAACTTTTAAAAAATAAAATAATAACTAAAGGAGAGAGTCAGAGAGCCTATTGCTCTAAAGACTCTCCCTTGCAATCTCTCACGCTAACCAAAAACCAACAAAGAGGAGAGAATGGAGGATTTCTCACTTAGGGAAGTGATCATATCATGATAATTTTGAAATTATTAATTAAATAATTTAATCTTATCCCTAAATTATATACATGAATTAGGAATTAGATCTCCGTTAGGAACCAACTTCCTAGCTACACATATCAAAATGGGAAAATTATTAAGACAAAATTATGGTTTTTAATATTTTATTTTTTAACAAATGAATTATTTATTTGACTGTTACAATATTATTCTCTTCTCATCTTCTTTTCTTTCCCATTCTTTCATCCCTTTCTCCACTTTTATCCTCCATCTCACCACCATGCCCATCACCTCCGCCCCTTGATCCACCAAGCCATCACCATATGACATAGCAGCAGCTACTGCCAGTACAACCAATGGTCCTCAGCATGTGTGAAACCAGATCAAAATGTTGGGGCTCCAAGGATCACCATCAGAAACAAGTATGCTGCTATCATTCGATCACAGCAGACTAACTTGCAAGTTATTTGTTAAACATTTAATACTATTAGATTATTTCACAGGGAGAAGATAAGGAAAACAAATTAGTAGGTAAAAGAACATGAAAAAAAGGTAGATGCAAAAATAGCAATAGAAATCACAATTTCTTTTTCTCAAAGTAATGCCTAATCATTGTTAGGGAGTATTTGCTTTCTTACTCTAATTAGTCCATCTAGAGTCAAATTCTGGTACAGATTCCCATCAAGGAAACAAATATAGACTTCATAACATAATAAACTACTCAGTTAATTATGTATTTAAGACAAAAGTTTGAGTTTAACTCAAGCTCTACCACAGGAGATTAATGGATCATGTAACAGATGGTTAAACAAACCACAACATATTAAAATCAGACAAAATCAAGCCTAAACTCAACCAACAATAGATCATAACTCTGAACAAATCGATTAAAGAAACAATAAAAGACAAAAATGAAGTCTTCAATGATGGTTGATCCATCTTCAAGTTGCATCAAACAATGCCCACAAAAATAATCAAGTGAAATTAATATGATTGCTCATTCCTTGTGGCCTGACAACTAACAGTTTGCCAGTGGTCCACTTCAGAAAAACATATGACAACCCAAAAGAAACTACTAGAAGCAATACACACAATCAGACATCAAAAGAATGAGCAATAGTTATATGAATCAAAAACAACAATTAAGACCAAAATTGACCAAATGCTAAGCTATGAATCAAAATAAAAAAAAAAACTTCCAGTATATCTGGTCGACAATTAGGCATATGCCTGTGTAATTTCAACAACAAATAGTTTAAAAGTATAAAGTTATTATCATAATATCACACTCTTAAAAATAAAAAAGTTAGTTCACGCATAAAGTGTCATCCCAACAACTGAATTAAGGAGAGAAAACATATAGTGACAAAAAAACATTCTTTAACTCATGTTAAATAAGCGCCAAGATCACTGAACTTAACCAAATAGCATTAACAAAAAAAGACACCAAAGGGCCATTTAATATGTGGAAAAGCAAACCTGTATCTCGCTAGGGAATGTGGCACTGAATAACATAGTCTGTCTTTGACCTCGAGCAGGCATGTCCATCTGCTCAACAATTCTACGAATTTGAGGCTCAAAACCCATATCAAGCATTCTGTCAGCCTCATCCAAAGCTAAATATCTAATACTTTGTAATGAGACTCTAGCTCTCTCAAGCAAATCAACCAGGCGACCAGGAGTTGCCACAAGAATGTCAACACCCCTTTCCAAGTCACGCAGCTGCCATTATTTATGAACAATGAGGAGGAGCAATCATCTTATCAAAGTATCCAGCAAGAAAATCTCCCAGTAGCATGATTTAGCATATAAGAAAGGAAATCCATGGCTTTTACAAATGTAGACAAGGATTACACAATGACAAGAAGAATTACACAAACTAAAAGAAAGGACAGGAAAAAACATTGTTATTTGGTGCTACAATAATAAAAGAGCACTCTAATACTAATCATTAGCGAAGAGGACAACTTCCTTGTTCATATGGACGAATTAATCCAGCAGATAAAGACCATCAAATCTACTGAAGCAAATAAGCTGAGAAAGTTAACAATTCATCGGCAAGATTATTCAGTTAATTAGAGTAGCAAGTTCTAAATTTGTATTGACAATTCTACGACTGAAGTACTTGGCACCTAATACAAAGCCCAATATCCAAAAACTAATACAAAACTCAGAAAATGTCAAGGTGAATCAGAAGACAGAAGACCTCAGGGAAACAAACAAGTAGACAAATTTAACAATTCATAACAGTTTAAATTAAGTAATTAGAGTAGCACTAGTAAAGTTGTACAACTATGCCAAGAATCCTACAAGTTTAACAACGGATTTTAAGGCCTAGTATCTTCAAGCAAGGAAAGGTATAAACCAAGGATTTAAAAACCGGTTAGATCAGTCCATATCAACGGATATTTACCAATCCGACCAAAAGCCAGACACAGTCCGAGCAATTTCACCCGGTCCTATGAAACAGAGGTTAGCAATTGGTGATCTGCCAACAGGCTTACCGCTCAGTTTTAGTGAATAAAAAGAGGGATTCCAAGGTAATCCAACCACTCAATACCTGTATCTTTTTATATTTTTATAGCTTTTTATGACAACTATCTCTTTCATTTTTTTCAACTTCTTTTGATTCCTTGATCCTCTCTATCCCTCTTTCTTTCTCTCGTCACTCTCCCCTCCCTTTGTTTATATCATCGCTCCGTCACTTCAACACCACCACTGCACTGCCTTGTCGCTTCCCCCCGCCCGCCCCCCCCCAACACCTCTCTCACATACTCATCTCTCCCTCCTCCTGATTCTTCTTCTTCTCCTTCTCTCCTCCCCTCTTCTCTCTCTTTCTGCCAACCAATATGACAGCATTATGTGTCTCAATATACTCATATATACTTGACCTGCACCAGCCTGGCCAGTGACTGGTATGAGTCTCGAACCAAAACTTAAAACGTTGGTACAAACAAAGTCAAACATATCAAAGTTAAAGAGAAGTCAGGAAGCCAGTAGAAAATAATCCTCAGGAATCATTTCCTCAAGAAACAAAAAAAAGAAGAGATCAAGTCCCAACTAAAAATAAGAGCATTCCAGGATCTCATTATGGATCCAAATTCAACTCATTTATAAGCACATGCACGATACATTCAACTATGAATAAATATATGTTTCTTCATCATTTATGCTCCTCTTTTACTGAAAACAAAGTGAAATGACTAAAATTTACAAGGAAGTTTATTTCACAGTATACCGCTCGTACCAAGCTTCATGGATTAGGATGCAGACCACCTAGTTCAAGCAATATCCAAATGTTTTAAATAAACAAATTTATTTTACTGGATTTGAACAGGTCAGTTACAACCCGAACAAGTTGAAACAAATTGGTTCAATATATCAATTGTACCAAAATAAACATGTCTCACTTAAAATACAAAAAAGAAATTTAAAATACTAAAAGAAGCTTCAAATTCAATCTGAACCAGCTAAAAAAATTTCATCGGATGGCTCAAACCTCACTTAAGTTACAAATATAAGTTACAAATAGCAACCTTGCCATAGAGCAATGGATTACCGTCAATTATAACATGTGATCAAGGTTCGAGCCATGAAAATAACCGCTCTACTTGTAAGGGTTGTACATTGGCCTTCCTCAAACACCACATTAATGAGAAGCTCATGTAACACAACACCTCTTTTTTGTCAATTGTACCAAAACCCTAGAGGTCTTTTGTGACCTGAAAACAAGGTTTTGTGATTCTTCAAAAACCTAAATAAATAATGGTCTAAACCTAAAAGCTGCCACAACATGGAAAGAAGAGGTAGAGGCAGAGGAAGAGGAGACAGTTAACATGGAAAGGGAACCAATTAACAGTGCCACAAGGGAAAAAACAGGCTTTTTTTACATTACTGCTTTTTCCCTTGCCTACCATTCTTCTTCTTGTTCATGTTTTTTTTGTGTGTGTGCCGTTGTATCAATATCTTCTGATATACCCACCAGAGTGGTACAAATAGACCACTGAAACCAAGATACACATCAATCTTCAGACGTGGCATTAGATAGCAACTACCATAAATTGAGTTCCAAAAGTTAACCAAAGAGCCACACTTCTCCAAAAAGGGTTTTTCAATATGTCGATATTGGAGATTATCATGTCTACCAAATCCAACTTGTAAATATTTATCCACTGAACCATTAACATTTTCCACTTGTAAAACCAACCAAGATCAGTGCAACTCAATTTTAAGGCAATTTACCATGCAGAGTAAGGAAACCCACACCCAATTGCGACCAGAACAAAGGCCATAACAAACCAAAAAATCCATAGTTTAAAAAGCTAGCAAAGGACCTCATGCTTAATAGGAATGCAGACTTAATGCTCAATAATGGGTGTTTGACGATACTAGCACATAGATCAATGTCATCTGTGTAATAAGTTTCATACTCCATAATTTTCTAGCGTAAAGAAGAAAAAGGTGAGAAAGGCAAATGTTTGGGAATGGACAGAATAAAAAAGTCATGGAAAAGAAGAAAGCAGTCATATTCAGCCTAAATAGTATTTTCACTAACGTAAATATCAATAAGATGACATAAAAAATCTTCCTGTATTTATATTTTCTTTTATTTTTTTCTTTTGCATACAGGTTCTTAATAATATGTATAAATTATTTGTTTAATATAAAAGTATCTAAAAGAATTGTTTTGAAGTTATTTTGCATACAACTACATTAACCTCCATTAACATTGTTTATAACAGTCTAACCATTTACTTTTGCATAAAAGACTCATTTTCTTTTAATTTTTGTATAAAAGTCATGTACAAAGAACTAGTTATTTTCAATAACTTCGGGCATTTGATAGGACTACAAGAAGTAAATGCTTCCAATCTTTATTCCAAACATGAGTTGCAGTCTATACTGACATGTTTTAGCCATGTAAAACCTACATGAGGAAGGAAGGGGGACACTGAAAAGACAAGATTGATGAGACAGCAATCAATGCACATAAGGCCTTCATCTTTTCCTTTGTTACTGATTTTAGCCTAAGGATCGCCTTTAGTCCAAAAATACAATTTTTCCACAACCTAAGTGAATCCTAAATTGCATCTACAGCAGAAATACTCTCTTCTTCGTGTTCATATCTACCTGCATTAGTTCCTAGAATGAAAAATAAAAGCTAAGACACAAAATATTAGTGACTGTCACTAAATAGGTTAACAGCAAAAAAAAAAATCACAAAAAACATTTATTACGATAGGCAATTCAGAGTCAGAACTCTATTCAGACTACAAAATAAGAACCTGTTGATTGATCGGAGCTCCACCATAGGCAACAACCACCCTGACACCAGTTTGGTATGAGAACTTCCTCGTTTCCTCATGTATCTAACACATCAACAACAGAAAATGATTGAGAATGAATAAGGTGCACTAGAGATAAATAAAAAATAAAAAACTGGTAGTTCGTATCTTGACAAATTTAAAGAAATTAATAGGAGAACACTAACAAAATTATATAGAGAAAATATTGTTGATCAAGGATTGAAGGATTTGTGCAAACATTTCTATGTACATAGACAGGGCATTAAATTATCTAACAAATAACCCAAATGCAATAACTTATCCAACAAGATTGTGAATATTCAGTGAATTGTAAAGTTTGCCACTTCTTTCTTTAAAGTTCATTTGGCTGTAAAGAAAAAGAAAATCAAAATCTACTTCTTTTCTTTCAGCTTGGAGTGAAGGAGAAAGAAAAAAAAAAATTTTTTTTTTTTGGAGATATATGTTCAACGTGATAGAAATAAAGTTTTGGTGAAGTTCTCTTTTTGTTAACAAGAGAAAACATTCGGAGAATAAGAACTTAACTTTTCCTGAATTCTGGATGATAGATTGACATGCTCTTAGAGTTTCCCCATAAAACAAAAATCAAAAAAGGAATCTTCCTTAACATGTGAAATTTCTCATGCAAACAAATACACTTTTAAGGAAACATATTAAATACAATGAAACAGAAGTTTCATAATGACTGAAAAGCCTTCTGATTTCTGATAATTGAGAAAGATGCAGCTACAAAGTTCACATGCCTAATAAAAAGATTCTGTAATATTCACTAAATGAATAAAGTAACCTGTCAATACATTCCAAAAGACTGAACTTTTGTTAATTACTAAACTATGAAGAACATAATATTAAGGGTTCATAAAAAATAGAGATCATACTTGAATTGAAAGCTCACGGGTAGGCGATAAAATCAGTGCAGATGGATACGCTGTCCTCGAAACGCGCTGCCGCTGTGCAGGTGGTCCCCTCATGATCCAACTAATGATCGGAAAGCAGAAAGCTGCAGTCTTCCCCGACCCAGTTTGAGCACAGGCCATCAGGTCCCGCCCAGCAAGTAAGATAGGGATGGCATGGCGCTGGACTGGGGTTGGCTTGACATATTTGCACCTCCTAATGTTTTCATTCACTGCATCCCCTAAATCAATCTCGGAAAACGTACTCACAGGTGGAGGGACATTCTCACCACTGGTCTCCACAGGGATATCCTCGTAAGCATCAAAATTTATCCCAGTATTCTCTGGGCCATCAAAAGCAGCCTCAGTGGTTTCGTCCTCGTTTGCGAAAGGGTTGATCTCCCGGTCCCTGCGGTCCCACCCGCCGCTCCTTGAGCCCCAGCCATCACCCATACCCCGGCCACCACCAACAGAGCCAGCGCGTCCCATCTCTCGGCTGGGGCCACCACCCCAACGGTTTCCACCAGAAAGTGCAGCAGGCCCAGGTGGTAATTTAGCAGCAGAAGAACCATCAGCAGGAGACGGCACTGGAGGTTCCGAGGATGCTGTGCGGTTGCGAAGATGAGGAGGGACATAGGCAGCACGACCAGGACGAGGTGCAGCGACAGCAGCAGCAGCAGCAGAGGCGTCGGCAGCGTTCGAGTAGGTGGTGCTAGCAGAAGCACCTGTCGCAAACGCCGAGCTATCGGCGTTCGCAACTGAATCAGCCCATGAAGTTCGCATAATTCAGGAAACAATCTCACTCTTCAGATCGAATCTCCAGCCGGGCAACAGATCTAACGCGACAGAGAACCACAAAACCCTAGATTAAATATTCCCGCCCAAAAAAGAAAGATACACAAAACAAAAGCAACAAAATACGAGCAATCCAATTCTCGTCACAATGGAAGACAAATTAGACGATAAAACGGGACAAGGCACCAAAATCCAGAAACTTCCCTCAAACCAAAACAAACGATTAGGGATGCGGATAAACCTGGAAAAATGGAGAGGAGATGCCGGCAGAAAACCCAGAAAGAGTGCGATCGAAGCGTCGTACGATGGATTCGTGGAAGAGAACTAGGAGAGGAGAGCCACGAAAAGGAACCCTAATTATAAGCTCTTCCCCAAGCAAGAGATAGAATAGAGAAGGAAATAGACTCCTGACCAAGCGCGGAAAAGAGACGCGGACAGAGGGCAACAAATATCTCCCCATAGTTTGCGCACCAGCACGGTTATATTGTAGGGTTTAGGATCCTCTCCAAACCTATCCCCAATTAGGAGGATCCAATTCCTGTATCGGAGTCGTCCAAAGAACGGGACCCACTGATGCTTTTGATCTTAACGGTCCGATCATGATAGATTCGTGAAATAAAAGCATTCGATCCCATCTCTATTTCCCCTTTGGCGGTAGGTGTGGGTAAAAGGAATCGGGAAGGTTATTTATGTGAGGAAAAGTGGATTGTCGCCGTTGGGGTCGGTACAGAAGTTTATGGTCGCCATTCTTTGTCCTCTGATTGGTGTTAGATGCAGGCCCCACGGTGGGTCCACATATGCTTCCATGTTTCTTCCAATCAATAAGGCTAGGTAACGCTACATGGGTGAAATAATGGAGTTAAAGAATTACCTTCTTTTTCTGGGACGACACCTCTGAAAACCCACCTAATTTATCATCAACTTTTTTATTTCTTTTTTATCACGAAAAAATATATAATTATATATAGATATATATACACTCTCTCTCTCTCTCTCTCTCTCTCTCTATATATATATATATATATATATATATATATATATATATATATAGGGAGATATATATATATATATGTGTGTGTATGTTTTATTTAAATTTATCTTAAATTTCATTAAAGGATATTTGAATCAGCAATTAAAAAAGTAGTATAAACCCGAGAATCCTGAAAAAAAACACACCTTAGAATTAAATTGAATTTTTTTCTCTTAAACTGGTAAATTATAGACCAACGACATCATAGTTTATCATTTAAGTAAAATGTATTTTTAAGATTTACAATCTATCTGATTAAATAGCCCCTTAAAATGCTCATCAGTTCCATTAAATATAATTCTCGACGTAAAACATATAAATTGCTACTTTTTAGTTAAGGATCAAGATGAATAACCCTAATCTAACTACCACGGATATATAAAGAAATGGATCGATATTGTTTATTTTTTTGTCGCTACTTAATGTAAAGATCATAATGTTCAAAAAATACTTTTTATTAATAAACTTTTGGATTTTATTGGCTATGCCCAATGGAACTTTTTCTTTTGGATTTTCTGTAATTGTCCTGATGTGATTTTAGCGCCACTTACACCGTATCCATATGATCATATTAATACTAAGTTTAAATACGTTGGAATCCAATATTTTCATCAATATAGTACTATTACATAAACTTTCCTTTTTTTATTTAGTCCATAATATCATATTATTTGTTGCAATTATATTAATAAATTAATATTTTTAATGAGGACGCACATGCAATAAATAATAGGGACAAAATCTTATCAATTCGAATCTTGCAAGCATATTAATCTTTTGACTAATTGTATGGAGTTGCAACTATTCCTTGCTTAGACATATTTATGTTGATTATTTTTTGATATAATAATATATTACGAAATTAAATTGGACATACTTAAAACACAAACGAAATGAATTGGATAAAAATTTGGATTATTAATATCAATAATTTTCTATTTTATTTTCGTCCTATATTTTTATTGTAACATCTTTCCTATTTAGATAGGCGAGCAAACCACTTAAAAATACTCTATTATTGTTCCTATACAACAACAATTTAAGTTAATGGTTTTTCCTATGTATTTTCTGTATGATAATAAGTTTTGATCCTTATGTTTATGTATTTTTCAAAGGATCCGTCGGACCAATGTTGTTAATGTAAGACATTAGCACCAACATCATAAATAAGATTCATCGATCGATTAATAATATCACCACACGACAAGAATGATGAACGCATCGGGCGATCGATGAATCAATCCATCAAGAACATCTCCCAACCTCAGCGACAACTTTGCTGCATCCATCAAAATTAGCAGTACGTTGAAACCGTGCCTTGGTTGTCACGTAACGCACATCTCTCAGCCGTCAACTCCCAAAGCATACTGCAGCAGCAGCTGGCCACAGGTCTCGAGCGGTTTCTCCTTGAGGAAGCCCAAGGAGTTGGCATAGCGGACGCCGGAGGTGATCCCAACGTTGTGGGTGACCACGACGAGGGCGCTGTTCCTCCCCTCGCTGATCTCGGAGCAGTCGCTGCGAGGGCTCGATATCAGCGTCACTTGGCAGGTCTCTTCCTGGTGGTCGTCAACCACCGTGATCTGATACTTTCCCGTCGCATCTGTCGTCGCCTGGTTGGTGTGGATGATCTCCCCGGTCGTGTAGTTCTTGCACTCCAGCTTCACCTTGGCGCCTGCCACACCACAAGGACTGCTCAGCATTAAGATCTCAGATCTACCTGTAAGTGTTTAGTTAGGTAGATGATGACCTGCAATGTACTCGGTGGCGGTGGTCTCGAAACCAGCACGGCAAGTGTCGCAGTACACGCGGCCTTCGACAACGATGTCGGGTGTGGAGACGACGCAGACGACGGCGTTGAGGAAGGCGAAGAGGAAGCAGGTGGCAGCAAATGCATGAGAACCGTTAGCCATGGCTGACACAGGTGTGCTTCCAAGATGGTGCCGAGGAGGAAGAGAGGCAAGTTGAGGGCGAGAGGAGGGAGATGGAGGCTCAAGTCACACGCCGTCCCCTTAAATAGTGTAGCACTAACGTGTGCGTGTGGGTGTGTGTGGTGGAGAGTGATTTGGGGGGAAGGATGGATGGATGATGACTCGGTCTACAAACCATTGGGGCGAGGCACGTATGCATGGGTTTCGCGAGGATTATGGATCGGTTTATGAGATCTTAATGCGAGCGTATAATATTCTTATGAGGAGCTTTTTGTTTACGTAATTTATGATCATCATTAAAGCTAACATTTTGCTTATGTGTAAAGAGCGTAAAATTTGAGCTTGATTTCTGGATGGCAATTAAATATTCCATTATATGGATAAACAAAATAAGATGTTGAACCAAACTAGTGCTCCTTTATGATCTTAATATCCATTTTTATTTTTTATTATTTTTAATTTAAAAGGAACCTTTTACTAACTTCCCCATTCATAAAGAAAATGCTCTTATATAATATACTAATTTACATGAGGTCACCAAACTATGAGATCCATGGATTTAGTGGCCCAAACTCTTTAAGTCATACATTTTATATCCCATTAAAAAAAGGAATGGCACCTTAACATTTGGTATCTGTCAAAATATTTACGAGCTGAGCTGATTAGTACCTTAACATCGACATGCTTACGTGATCAGTCAACTTAAAGGAAAAGTTGCTACTGCATATTTAAAATAAATGAAAAAGGAAATAGATTTTGAGAGCTACTATAATTAAAATAATTAACTAGAATAAATTAAACAAATACTTTATTTAAAAAACACAGAGTTGATATGCTAATTGATGTATAATGATTTTGAAAGCAGTACTTTTGAGCTTCTTGGAAACTAGTCTTACTTCATATCCATTTAAGAAAACAATGGATATCGACATGGTTGCATGATCAATCAACTTAAAAGAAAAAAAAATATTTTAAAAGCTTTCATAAATAAATAAATAAATGAATGAATTTTTTAATCAAATATGTATGTAATTTGATTTATAATGATTTTGAAAGCTGTACCTTTGAATTCCTTACAAATTGAGTCCTAACTTAAAAGGATAAATTTGCTAATGTGTTAGCAAAATAAAATAAAAAGAGATTGCAGCTAGGATAATTAAAATGAATTATTTAAATGATCTAACTAATGTATAATGATTTCGAAAGCTACAGATGTATCATCTCCCTTCTTGTCAGTCATTTTGCCTTTCTACTCATTATTTTCTGAGCTTGCTGTGATCATATTAATTTTGGGGGGGGAGACTTTATATTTGGGAGCCACGTTTAGAGTTCAGAGTGAGAAACGTCTGTGACATTCAGCAACTCTTTGCCCAATATCAAAGCATCAAATCAAAGATCAATATTCGTGGTTTTGTGCAGCCGTTGGATTCCTGTTCAGAATATAAACATATATAAATACACACGACATATACTGGACACTGCAATTCAGATATTCCAAAGAACTAATTTGAGGGCATCAGACCTGTAAATTCCCATTTTTTACAAGCTGCAATTCACTTTTGTCACACCAAAAAAGAAGAAAAACATGGCAGAAGGTGAATGGTAATGGATCATCCCAAGCAATTAATCCAGTCCGTTTATATTGCTTTTACTGCTAGAGGCAGTAAATGTAAACACCAAACATAGCTAACCAATCATATAGCATGTAGATGAGAGCAAAGCCCTTATATAGAGGAATAATGCAGTGAAAAGCCAGTCTGAACATCCAAACTAAGACATAAGACACTGAAGGTTGGCTACAAAGCTTTCTCCTAATTAAGCGAGGCATAATGGCTGTAATCTCCATGTTTAATATACTTCCAAATTACGGCATGCACCATGCTGCCACCATCTGCCTATATACCTCGTGGCATTGCAGTGAGCATAGCAGGGTAGGTGAAATTGCAAAGTGATGATGGCTGACCAACCTTTTTCTGATGCATCTGAAGCCAAATTATAGGGTCGAGTCCTCCAAACTGATCCTGTCATAGTCTGCTGTAAGTTCGATACTCTTGTTTCAGCTGATCCCTGAGGACTCTCCTCAGCAATTTGTTTGAAGCGGTACGAGGAAACTCTGGGACAACTTTCACAAAGCTCACCTGATAAGTGGAGTCAGGAAAAGCACAGAGTTTTTAAAACCTTAACATAATATAAACATACTAATTTCTGCTTCATTGGAAAAAAAAAAAAAAAAAAAGACTACTGGTATGGTCAAGAACTGTTCTACTCTTAATTATAGCAAAATGGATACAAATAGTTCAGATAGACAATATATCACCATGAAGGTTCTTAGGAGGGGCATTAATACCTTGAACAAAGGATTGAGATAGTTCTGGATGGCTTTCTGGAATTTAGTCCTCAGGAACTCAGGATCGCACTTTGCCGACTGATTCTTAGGAACTACTAACACAACCAACCGTTCAGGGCCTCCAGTATTGGATGTAATGGTGACTGCTGCTGTCTCTAACACATTTTCATCAGCTCTGTTGCATACACGTTCTATCTCCACTGAACTTGTCTGGTAGTCACAGGCATTTATAATTACCATTTAAGAACATATCTGATGCTATGCTTACTTCAGAAATGGGACAATACTTGGAATATTTTGGCATGGTTGTTACCTTAATGCCTCCAAGATTCATGGTGTCATCAACTCGGCCATGGACAATGTAATAATTACCCACTGTTCTTTGAATTATATCTCCATGTCTTCGAAGGTTCTGGAGCCATATTAGCACGTTAGAAAATTTAAGAGAGAGATAACATCTAATGGTTACTGGTTGCCATTTAATATTCATTTAATTGAGGTGTTAAATTGAGTAAATTTCATGATCCACATATGGCAAGACAAATGACCAATGGAGTCATCACCTGAACCCAGTTCAACTGTTGCAGTCATGTGAAAACTTTCATATGAGAATCACTAAGAGATGTTGAAATACTAAGGTCAGTCAAATCAGATATTAATTTTATGTTTGAAAGTCATAAAGATGGGAAAGGTAAACAGTGCGTTCCAGCTTAAAGTTGACATGATTCAAGTGTACTGCAGTACAATGCATTGTAACAAGTGAAGAATGAAACAAGATGATTGCAGCGATGAAAATAGTAACAGAGAAATTAAAATTGAGAGATTTGTTTAAAAACAGTCATGTGTGCAGTATGACATGCGCATGGTGATGCCAATCATTTCTCCTTGGGGATCCAACATCAATCCTCTCATCCCTACTTAATTATGATTACCCAGTTGATTCAACCACTACACTACTCACATGAGCTTTACAGAGGTCGCAATTGAATAGATCATTCGAGATACAGCATACCAGCATGCTGGTCCTTGTTAACTGATCATGAGCACACGCTATGAGACTAAACATTACTAGAGCCAATCTGGTAAACAATTTTGTCATACATTTCTTATGAGCATGTGGTAGCGACTACCATGTCATTGGCAAAAGCAGAACATCCCCATATCTTTTTCTTAAAGTATTTCTTGATGAGCATAAGTTGATTATCATGACATGCTCCATTCTGATTCGGACTATCACATAACTGGAGTTCTTGAGTTAAGAAAGTGTCCACCAGGAGGGCCAATCTCTTCATGACCTGCCAAATCACCTAACGTGATGGCATAAAATATAGAGTTGCAAAAGATGGCTTAAAGATTTAATTTCCATAGTGTGACCATGTGTTGGTAAAATGTTGAAACGGTACATATTTTGTGAAGATCATATGTTTAAGACCTAAGAACAAAACCAGGCGGCCTTCAGAAGGTGCTCCTTGAGAATGGGTAGTCATTTGCACTACCCACATCTTAGTCCACATCTAATGTGGGACTCTTGCGAAACCACAATTGATCTACTCAAATCCATGACATCCTCATCAGTCCACTTAGCTCTCTATGATCCCATAAGTATTACGAAATATTAGGGGTACCATTGCCATCAAACTAATACTACCTCATCAATCTTTGTCTCCTTGTGCTCTAGAAGTTCATCATGATTCACAAGATTTGACACACAGACCACAAACAGTTACTGCTCTCATACTACAGTTTTTGTGTACTATGTGCAAAAACTTATGGATATTGTTTCCAAAAAGATAAATAAAAAGGTATAGAACCTACTAGAAACTTCAACAAGTAATAAGCAACAAATATAAGTGATAAAGACCAGGTTACAATCCCACTTGCTGAAGCCATGTTAGCATGATGATCCTAATACTCGCCTGTTGAAGCCATGTCAACAAAAATCAGGTTCCTGTTGTATGTGCTCATGATAGAAGTATTTTTTATTACTAGGCTACTCAAATGTTCCTTGCCTTCTCCTTAATAAATATGATGTTTATGATTCTTTAACATATTATTAAAATTTGGCCCCAAAAAGAGGAGAGTGTTGCAGTTTAGTGCGCAAGACTCCTGCCAACAGGGTTTGGAGAGGGTATAAAATTTGCAATTGGAAATTTTTTTGTGATAAGAAGTATAATCCTGTGGATCATTTTCTCCAAAAACAGTGTAATATAGGGAGGTAACATAAATCATCTGCAAATATCAGAAGAAAACTTGGATATTAAGTTCTTGCAGTGGGGACTATATTTCAAACTGTTGATGAATAGGGAAGCGGATAATGTAAACAGAAAAGGCAAATATGTAGTAAACAACATACTTTAGCTAAAAGTAACCTAATTACATACCATTCCTTTGTATGTAGGCATTCCATCAAAGTAAACCTTCTTATGATTGGCGTTGAGTAACCTATCAGTAGATCCCATGTAGAGAGGAAACAAACCAACTTCTCCAACACAAGGTTGATCATCCGGCTGTTATGTAGGCCACAAAATATCATTTGTATTTTCTAAATGCAGTTATCAAGTGCTGTTCTTCCCATATATTTAATTTTATAAGGGAAACATCTTACATATGGAATTCCTTGTTCATCAAAAATGATGAATCCTGTCGACATTGATGGAGTACTAAATGTTGCGAAAGCTTGCGGCTGCAACAAGCTTCCCTGGATGTAGCTAGATGCAAGTTCAGTCCCACCACAACATTCTATAATTGGTCTGTAGGAAGCCCGGGAAGAGAGCCATAGGTCATCATCAATATCAGAGGCTTCCCCTGTAGAACCAAAAATCCTGCAAGGATGATTGCATAGAATGCTATACTATTAGGCATGCATTGGAGAAAATATATAGTCATCAACACAAAGTACCTGATCTTGGTCCAGTCAAGCTCTTCCATGCATTTGCTGCTTTTCCAATATTTGACTAGGCTTGGTACTGTTCCTAACATTGTCACAGATGCATCCTAGAGAATAGTTTCAATGATCACCCAAAATTGATTAATAAATGCATATGCACATTGGTACAATCTTTTGGCAGACATTACCTGGACAAACTTTCCAAAACCACGTCCAAGTGGAGATCCATGGTAAAGAGCCAGAGTAGCACCATTTAAGAAACACGAATACAATATAATCGGTCCCATAACCCATCCTAGATTTGTTGGCCAGCAACAAATATCTCCTGCTTGGATATCAATATGTGCCCACGAATCAGCTGCACATCTTATTGGTGAAATCTGTGTCCAAGGAATAGCTTTGGGTTCTCCTGTATGGGTTGATAGAAACAGAAAATGAACCATCTGAATAAAAAGGTTCTACAAGAAGTAAAACTGGAAATATACTAGAGTACCTGTTGTTCCTGAAGAAAAGAGTATATTGGTCACACTGTCTGCTGACTGATAAACAGGAGGATAGTTATGCCTGCTGTTCAAAAGCCAAGATTGTCAAATAACAGATTTTTTTCTATTAATGATGTTTCCATAAATAAGACTAAATCCAAATTTCTGGAAAGTAATTTTTAATGGTGAACAATAAAAACATTACGAACCTTATATGTTGTATAACTAAAAATGAAACATTTAGTCAGTTAGATAAACCTGTATATTACCAATTAGTAAACAGTATTTTCAGGATATTGACCTTAATATATGAAGTTAGGATACCCAGAGCACGAGGAACATCTATCATAGATGCACCTGCAAGAATCCCTTTGTTGGATGGAGACAGACTCTAACAAAAGACAGCTGAGCACATTTGCAACCAGCAATGAGGTGTAAAATTTTGGATTGAACATACGCCCAACATATTGGTGTAAATATTTGAAACCACAACCAGGTAGGCATGACCAACAATTGCAATTAAGTGGACTTCCAACACTAACAAGCAGGTAACTCTTTAAACATGTATGTATGACTATAAATACATAAGAATTAGAAGCAGAAACAGTTGTAACCAAAATATGATGGTAAAAAGGGCAGACCTAATAAAGTTCTTCCCCAAAATGTATACTTATTTATATCACGAGAGTGGTAAAATTAGCATACAAATTAATTAACAAAACATCTGGTGACTTGGAGTCAAAATCCTAGGTATATATTTAAGAAGGGGTCAGGAAGCTTCTATAAATTCTAGGTAAAGCAAAAAACACTCAGTAACAACATCATAAACTTGAACAAAACTAGTGACAAGCACCAAGGTAAAATGATCATCTATATTAGGTTACTGTCCTAAACGATTTAATAAGATAAGAGTTGCAAGACAAACCTTGGAAGTGAACCAGCAGAAGAGATAAAATCTTTCCATGACAAGTCATGGCTTCTTAGTTGAACTCCCACATCATTGCCATGAGCAGGAACAACAATAACGACACATGACGTACCCTTTATAACACGACTGAACAAAAACACTAATCAATGAACATTTTGATAGCCATCAATTTTCAATGTGGCAAAATAATGAACAACATTCACAAGTTATTCATGGGGCTTGAAAACATAAAAAAGTGAAAAAATAGCCTGTTTATGAAATTACATGATAATGCTCTGGAAGACATGTATAGCTGCAATAAGAAAGCAATAAAGATTTTATGAACTTTTAAGTATGACCATATCCAGTGAGTCATATATTGGGTTGTGATTTGTTTTTAGCAAAAAAGTCACAAGACCACATTAAGTTATTCAGGCACTGGGATGTATGTATCATTCCTTTTGTAACAAAACCTAAAACTAGGAATTGTACAGAACAAGTAATTGAAAGAGGAGAAAGAAGGAAAGAGATGACTCGCAGAAACATGACGATTTTATGTAGGTTAAACATTGAGCCCATGGAAAAGTTTACATAGGTGAATGTAGGTTGACAAAATAAGTTCCCTCGAATGCAAAAGCTTCCCAATCTGTAGATTCCTCACTCAGAACCTAAATAACTAACATTGTGAAGAATTTATAGATATTGTGTTAAATTGTACATGCGGCAGGTGCACAGCATCCTAGGTCAATCAACTAACAGTCAGAATTAAAGCAAGACAATAATCCATTGACATGATCAAATCAGTTAAGCAAGGGAATAAGGAAAAGAGAGGGCATCATAAACCTAAAACCAGTTTTAATGTTGGAATTAGAAAAATGTATTGACGATGGATGCATCCATTACCGTGAGAGAAAATTTACAACATGCTCTACTTTCAAATTTGGAGGTCACCAAACAATTTAAGGCAAGAAACACATTGAATTGATTTTAAAAAATCTTAGGTAGTTACACATGCATGTAAATTTGCAAAACTTTAAAACTGAGTAAACTGATTAGTCTTACCTGTAAAGAGAAAAGTTTGTTACCAAGTAAAAATTACAATATGCTCAACATAATAATTTTGAAGTTCCTAAATGATCTAAAAGAAGAAGCATGTTGAACTGATACAATTTTGTGAAACAGATCAAAAAGCTAGGGTATTGACATATGCATGTAGGTTTGCAAATATTTAGAACAAATTGAATCAACGAATCAGTAATCTTACCTGTAAAGAGGAATTTTTTTATCTCCTCGAAGAATGAAGTCCTGAAATGTCCTAATAATTACAAGGTTAGACAACTTAATAAATGAGGAAAAAGAATATATATCACTTTGTTTTCACTGCACTGATCAGCAAAACTACATGACCATGATGTTTGAAATTATTTTTGAGAGCACAAGGATCAATTACTTTAAACATCATTTAAAAGCATACTTTACCTTCTTTTCTGTTACTTGTGTTCTTATTCAATGAAGCAATTTTTGATGCAAAGAATTACACTTTGAGAAGCATATGCTAGAGCAAATCCACATGCTTTACCAAGTAAATCTAAGATTAGTGATTTGAATCAAAATAATCTTCATGCTATTGACAATTTGCTTCATACTGATTAAGTTAACATGAATGCACTGGTTTCTGAAAGCTTATGAATCATAGTATGGGGCAGTCCAGCATACGATATTCTCACTAGTGAGTGCACGAGACTCCATCCAATGCGCCTGGCATGAGGCGTGGGGGGGGGGGGTGGGGTTGTGGGTGGGGGTTCAATTTGTGCAATCTTACGCAGCAGAGTCTTATTTCTGTGAGTGGAAACTCATATTCTGTGGAGAAACCTCAGTATGAAACCAAAGCTTGCCCTCAGCTTCAGCATCAAAGTAATAATATTGAAATGCTTCTATAGAATCCATATGTTTGTTTGATGTTTATTTCTTCAAAAGCACTATATCATGCTTTGTTGATTCTATCTTTCATACAAGACATTCTAACACACAAAAATAATATTAAATACAAAAAGATCTATATTGGAAAAATGGTACTTTGCATGGTTAGGGTGTCCATCTTTGGCCAGCACAGGTCAAAGATGTGGAAAATGGTATTTTGCATGGTTATGTAGTCTGTCAAATGCTAATAGGACTTTTGGTCCAATGAATGAGGATACCATTATATAATGCTTTAGATGCACTTGTGGTATATCATGCATGCAGTGGAGGACAAATCATGTAGACTGACCAGAATTGTAATGCAGATCTAGTGTTGACCATGCTCATTAAATAATTAAATGGTCAAAACAAGCATTCGCCTGCTCCATCGGCTCCTGCCACACTCTCAGCATGACTTGGAGTTTTGACAAAGTATATCATGCTAGCATGATAAGACAGATGAAAATCATTAAAAGCCTTCAAAATGTTTTTGCCTAGTATTCATGAATAATATTTTCATTGGCATCTGCTCATGTTTTATTTGAAAAGAGAAAAAAAGGTGTACTATCATATGCATATAGATGTGTATGATGCACAAGAAGATTGCATCTAAACGCAGACACCATTTTACATATGATATATCAGTGATAAGTACATTACAAGGACTAGGGAAATGCAAATTATAAGATCTCCCAAGGGTCCCAATGCTCTTGATCTTTTTGTTCAATAATAATCTTGATGATGCTCACCTGCGTAAATATCCCTTTTGCTTTAGCCACCTCCATCCGTTTTGCAATTTCGTTTGCTGCAAAGCTGTCAGCTATTGATACAACAACACATCCAGCAAGGACGATTGCTAGGTATATGATTACTGCAGTGCATGTCATTGGCATGTCAATGGCAATAGCATCTCCCTTCATAAATATTTTATCAATTGCACGTGCGACTAACCTGTGACTCATAGGGTAAACAAATAATCAGCTATTTTGCATACATCTGTTAGAGTTCAAATATGATCATCCTGATAGATTTCAGTAATCTATATAATAATTGCAAATTGATAATTCCATTGAATCATACATGACTTGATTACGAAGTTCCTTCAGTGACAAATAGTTTATCGAAGAATCATCAGAACCTTCATTTCTCCAGAGAATAGCCACACTTTCTTCTGTCCTTTTCTGGGATTCCATTGGTAAGAGACAACACTCAGCAATATTCAGGACTGCACCTGGGAACCATGCTCCACCATTCTTAGAATTTTCTGAAGTATCCAGAACAGATTTTGGGGCCTCATGGAATACCACAGAGAGCTCTTTTATCACAGCTGACCAATAGACCTAAGAAAAAATTTCAAAGTTCACTTAGTGGAGGATATTCAATTGCAACCTTTTGGGGAAATCACTGCCTATATGAGCTGTAACTGACACCTTACAAAAAAGCACTAATGTTGATACAGAAAGTATTGCCAGTTCCTATAGATGCAGTTAAAGCAAGTTACCTCTGGACGGTGAACTGAGAACTTCTGGAAGAGGCTGAAGCTCATAAGTGGATCATGATATGATGATCCTAAAAGCTTCGGACCATGATGTTCCATCAATTTCCAAAGATTTGTATGCTTAGAGTTTATCCTGCCAAGAAAAATTAATTGAGTACTATATTATAGGACTTGCACATGAAAGTTAATATATGTTGATTTGAATATGAATATTTAGTAGAAATTTTCACATCATTAGCATTATAGGTTAAAAATCTTAACAATGCAAAATAAAGTAAATGAGTGTAATCGATAGCAAGGTTCATCATTGTGAGAACTGGACCCGTCTCAAGGATTTGCTTGGTCGGTACATACCGATCCGTATTGACGTATCAACACATGGTTCGTTGGGGCGTACCGACGAGGACTCGAGCGATCCATGCCTTGATCACTAGTCGCATCGGTCTATACCACTCATACCATACCAACTCAAGCGGTACAACAAGCATTGATCGATAGAGTGACAAATCACAATATACTAAAAAATTATGATAATTTTTTGAAAAAAAATAAAAAGATATGAAGTTGCTAAAAATTCAAAATGCTCACAGAAATATCTACCATAAATGCAAATAAAATTAGGACACTAGAGAAGTTTGAACATAGAGGTGTTTCCTTTTGCATAGGACATCATCAGTGTACCATATAGAACTTCTTAATTGTGAATAATCTATTTAGAAATCATACTATGGTATACATCTTCTAATGCATTGCAATTCACAGAATTTCTGGTCCCCAACGAGTTACTAACAAATTCTCTCTAATGTTAAGAAAGAGAGGTATCAGTTGCAACTATAATTATGACCGTTGATTACATCATCTTTGGTTCACTAAGGGCTCTTAATAAGCTCAAAAAATTAAATTAGAAAAAAGTAAATCAAGAAACCATGTATTTTTAATAGAATATAAAACAACTAGATTAAAATTTAAAAAAAATAGTAAGGTTGTGTGTTACAACCTAAGTGACCATTGTCAACATTACAGAAATAGCCTCTGTTTTAAGGTTTAGAGTCTAAATTTATTGAGTCTTCCAAGAGCATGGATCAGAGCAAAGCTCACGCACGAGGCCACCCTTTTTCTTTTATATACACATTCACTATGAAAGCATAAATACCCTTAGTTAGAC